GAGATAACGGCACTGGGAGAGATGAGTAACAGCGATAAAGAGGAAGTGGTGAGAGAATGAGATAAAGGGGCTGGAGGAGACGGGCAGTTGTTTCGTACTAACTTGGGGATATTTTCCAGTGCCACAGTCGGACTGAGACACAGCAGGAGCCGTCTGACAGCCTAAGGACTGAGCATCTACTGGACCCCTCCCCGCTTTTTCCAGGCCAAGGAGCAGCACCCATCCACCATCTATTTCCGTTGCGCTCCCTCCCCAGGCGTCGGGGCTCCATCTCTCCAGCGCCGGCAGTGTCTCCACTTGTCTCATCCATGTTCAGGCGTCTTGTTTTCATCTTGCGCCGATCACCCTCGATGACCGCCTCCCACCCCGCCCACCGGCCAGCTCCCCCGGTAGGGCGCTTGGGAGACCCAACCGCAGGTCCCAGGTTCCAGCCCCCACCCATCCTCTGGCTCCCTCGGGTTGAGCAATGCTGCCACCTGCCGGCCGGGCCCGGGAAGCACAGCACGCCTCGAGGGCTGGGGCGCGGCCGCCGGGGGTGGGAATCCCTCCCCCGCCGGCTAAGACCTCCTGCCCCGGGTCTTTCCAGGAACGCGGAGGGAACTGCTCGCCCGCGCGGCACCTCGCCTGGCAGCGGCTCTGCCCCACTTCGAACTCCGGGGCAAATCTCTGAACCTTGGTTCCTTAATTGCCCCTGTAGTCAAAAGGAAGATGTGTACCAACACCTCCTCCCAGAATGTCAAGGGAGGTAGGGAAACACGGTGGTACCAGGACTGTGCGCCTTGTTCTCCTTCCCCTGGAGTCAACCAGGCCGCCTTTTTCTTCCTTTGAAAAACAAACAAACAAAAAACCGGGGTGGGGTGGTGACCCCTTCTCCATTCAACCCCCTCAATCCACTCCAGAACCTCCTGCACTCAACCTCTGCCCGCCCTCTCCCCCACGGCCAGGTGGGACGGGACTTCCCTTCCTGGGAAGGGAGGTACCGGGGGGATCGCTCTGCCTGCACCCCCCGATCCCGCTGAGGGTCGCAGCACCCCCTCCCTTAAGCCTGGGGCCAGTTAGGGTTGGAGCAGTAGTTGGGGTTGGGAAGGGGTAGCTTAACAGTCTTGAACTGACCCCACAATTTTTTTTTTCAATTAATCTCTTCTATTTCTTAATGACCAAGTTCCCTCTCCTTCCCGGCTCCTCCCCGCCCCCAGTCCCGCCCATCCGGGTGCACAGGCTCCGCCCCCATCCCGAGGCGGGACCCCGTAGGTGGAGCGACGTGGGAGAGGTCGCGGCCCCGCCTCCCCCGCCTTTCCCCTCCTCTCCTCACACACGGAAGCTCAGTGGCCCCCACGCCAGGATGTCGGACGCCTGGGTCCTCAGCCTCGTCCCCACCTTGCTGCTCGGCCTGCTGGCCGGCCTCCAACAGGTGAGCGCTTGGGAGGTAAAACTATAGAAGTTTCGGGGCCCGACCCTGGTGGGTCTGGGGCCTGCTTCTGGAGCCGGGTCACGCCCTTCCAATGTTAGGATTTCCTCCTGACTACACGCGACTAGCCACTTTCTTTCTCGTTTTGCTGGGGAGGTAAAGGAGGGAGCCGTGGAGGGAGGCCCTGAAAAGACCGGGCTTCCTTCACCTTGGGGGGCCCGTGTGGTGACACTGGCTTTGGCCCACGACCATGTGTCACCTAGTGCCTGTCTGTGAGTAGGGACTTTGACCCGCATTAGATAGTCCTTCCCGCACCTTCCTCTCCTTCCCACTGCGTCAGAAAGTGGGACGTATCTGGGACCGAGGTCTGGATGTAGGCCAGCCTGTGTCCCCAGCTTTGTCCCCCCAGTGCTGGGTGACCTTGGGGAAGTCCTGGCCTTCTCTGGGTTTTATTTGCATGTGCCCTAGCGGAGAGGAGGCTCCTTAGGCCCTTTCTGGGATCTGGGCTGGGGTTCCAGCTGGTGGGGAGACTTGATCTGGCTGCATGACCCGAGGCTGGGGTGACCTCTGGAATCTGGGATGCTAAGAGTGGACAGGCATGGCCTTATCTCTGACACCTCCAGAGTGATAAGGAGGTTCTACCCAGCCCTGGGGCAGGAGATTATCCTGGAAACCATTGTGAGTCTAGAAGACAGATATTTAACTTCTGCCTGAGATCCAAGGGAAGCGCCAGGCGGGCCTCCTAGAACTGGGCACATTCACAGGACAGGGCTGCCTTGCCCCTGAAGCCCTGGTCCTCCTCAGTCACCAGGCCACCGGTTGGTGCCATCCTACGCGAGCATCCTCTCATTGATTCCTCCCACCCGCTCCAGGGGGCAGCTGCTGCTAGTACCCCCAGTTCACCTGTCAGTACAGTGTTCAGACGTGTCCTGGTTAACAACGGGGGTACGTTCTCAGAAACACGTTGCTAGACGACTTGTTGTGGGAACCTGTGGGGTCCACCTGCACAAACCCAGGTGGCAGAGCCTGCTACACACCTCAGGCTCTGTGTACACCTGTCACTCCGGGCCATCAGCCTGCACGGTGCGCTGCTCTGCCGACTCCTGAAGGCAGCTGTAAGACAACGGTGAATGTTTGTGTGTCTAAACGCAGAAAGGATACAGTCAGGATACAATATAGACCATTTAAAAAACGGCCCCTCTGTACAGGGCACTTACCACGAAGGGAGCTTGTCGGGTGGGAAGGTGCCCTGAGTGAGTCAGTGATGAGTGAGTGTGAAGACCTGGGACACTACTCTGGACTTTCTACACACTGTACACTTAAGCTCGCTAAATACTGAAAAACAACACAAGGTTAAATCAAGCACAAGAGAAAATAAGTCATTCGAGAAACGCAGGCCCCGGCCAGGTGGCTCCGTTGGTTGGAGCGCTGTCCTGGACACCAAAAGGTTGTGGGTTCGATCCCCAGTCGGGCGGGTATGGGGGTCGACCAACAGAGGCTTCGCTCCCTCACCCATGTTTCTCTCTCTCCCTTCCTGTGTCTCTAAAACCAATTAATGTATCCTTGAGCGAAGATTTAAAGAAAAAAAAAAGAAACCCACTAAGTGCTAGATGCAATGAGGCTGCTCTGGTGTAACACAGCCATGATTTGCGGCAAACTTTTGTACGGAGAAAGGATATACCCTAAGGATAAAAGGCGCGGTCTAGCGAATATCACTAACACAGCCCTTTTTTATGATTATCAAGTACAATGTGCCGGCCATGATTGCATGTGCTATATTTTTACATGACTGACAGCGGCAGGTTTGTTCACACCAGCATCACCACAAACATGTGAGTAGTGCCTGTGATGGCGATGACGTCACCGGGCAGTGGGAATGTTTCGGCTCCACCACAATCTTCATGAACCACTGTTACCTACGCGGCCCGTCACTGCCTGAAATTCATTTATGTAGCACGTGGCTGGGAGCTGAGCTTCCCCGACACTCCGCGGGACTCAGGCTCTGGACCAGCTCAGACCAGCCGGCCCTGGCATCGTGGGGCAAGAGAACCCGGGAGGGCTCCTACCCGTCCCAAACAGGAACTCTGCACAAACTTATTAAACCTGTTCGCACCTGTCCTGCTTAGCTGGGGGCCAGGAGAGGGAGGAGGGACAGGGTCTGAAGGGGCAGGGGCTGCCGCCAAGTGTCGACCCCTTGGTCTGTCCCCAGCTCTGCCGGGACCTGTCTGTGCTGTGTGGCCCTCACCCCCTCTGGGCCCATTTGCCCCAGGGATTCATCGCTGCTCCAGCCCCCACTGTCCGGGGCTTGTGAGAAGCTGGCACTCACATGGGACTGAATAGGAAAGGGGGAGTCAGCGCAGCCATTAATTGGCCGTTGGTGGAATTCTTAGCTTTACTGTTGTCATTAGCAACTGAAATGTTATTGAAATATTCAAGGAAAGGTCTAAAGATAGGGTGGCCCGCCCAAAGGTAGCTTCTTATTCTTGAGTGCCAGTTGTTTGTCCCGGGGAAGCTGTGCGGATAGATAACCTCCCATTCCCCACTGCACCCCCATCCCTGCATTCCTCCCCCATCCCGGCCTGGCCCCGGACCCGCCAGGAAGAAAGGAAACCGGCCAATCAATGAATCCATGAATGCTCATTGCCAGTATCGTTGGGTTTTCAACAGTAACGAAACAGACCCAAATCCCTGCCCTGTGGCGTTTACACTCTACCTCAGAAACACACAATTTACAAAATAAAGAAAAATGTGTAGTGTGTTAGATGTGGATAAGAGCTATGTAGAAAAATGAAGCACAGTGAAGGGAAGGGGAGTGGTCAGAAAGGAAGGTGTGAAGCCAGGTTAGCAGAGACCTGGCGGAAGATGTTCCAAGCAAGGCTTACATAATTGCTGTTAATTGGGTTAAATTCTGGACAGATACCCTGGGTGCCCCGCAGAGCTAGTATGGAAGAGGTGGGGAGAGAGGAGCCGGTTCCAGAGAGGAGGGTCCAGGCAGCCTCAAACAGAGAGGACCAGCCCCCCCACCCCCCCAGGCAGGGATCTGAATGAACAGGGCGCAGCAGACCAGGAGGGCCTGGGGGAGAGGGCCTGCCCCTGCATGCAGGTGTGAACAGCCAGGTGTGTTCAGGAAACTCCCAATGGGGGTGTGTGTGCCAGAGAGAGGGTAGGACGGCTGTCAGGGCCCAGGGAACCCCTGACAGGCAATTCCAACAAGGTTGCAGGCGCTCAGATTTTTGTGGGTAGAAACCTGTCTGCCATTTGGGGGCGACTCCGGTGGGCAGCAGGAGAGTCGCTGGCATCCTAGACGGTAGATGTCAGAAGGCATGAGCTTGCACACCTGGGGAGGGGTAAATATGGCATTGGGGGTATGGTGGGGAGCAGAAGGAGAGCTGGGGGCCTCCAGGTGCAGCTGGGGTTCCCATCACTGCCCCAGGGGACGCGGTGGGGTGAGGTGGAGAGCAGGCTTGCAGGGAGATGCTGCTCCACTGGGGATCTGCTGGTGGTCGGGTACCTGGGCAGCATCTGAGTTTGTGTCCCTAACCTCTGCCTCTTCCACAGGCTGCAGCCGAGTGTGGCCTCTTCTTGTAAGTCTGGGGGTTGGCCTGTAACTTCCAAACTCGGGAGGAGACGCCCCATACCTGCCCCGCCTGCCTTCCTGGGAGGGAGCACCGCATGCACCATCTTCCCCCACTCCCCTTCCCGCCGGACACCAGCCTCCTCTTCCCCCACCCGGAGGAGGAGACTCTGCCCCCTCCTGCTCCCCACCAGTCACCCCAGAGGGAGTTTCTCACCTGTGGTCCTTCCGAAGCCTAATCCCCTTCCTTTTCACTGCAGTCTCAGGCCACCTCCCCTCTGAGAGGACCCTGGGAGAGGGGACAATCTGGGTGCCACCTGAATACACAAATGCCAGGAAGCCTGAGCACAGTGAGGGGCGGAAGGGTGGTCTTTGCAGAAGAGTGTCCAAGTCAGCACTGGAAGTGCCAGGAACACCCTCTCCCGCCCCCTTCCTACCCTCTGGGCCCCAGCAAGGGCTCCTCCTCCTCCCCCAGCTCCTGGACACTCCCTTCGCCCCGTCTCTGCACCACTACACTGCCCCCCCACCTGCCCCTGCTGCAGATGAGGAAAGCGAGGACTAGGAAGGAGCGTAACTCGGCAGAAGTGCGCAAGGCCAGGAGTGAGGTGCACCTGGAATCCAGGTTCTGATCCCAGCCCCGGGTTCCTCCCACTAAGCCCAGAGGGCCCCTACCCTCACCCCACAAGGGGCACAGCTCACACCCTGCGTGCAGGGTGCGTCTTGAGGAGGCTGGCATCCTTCTGCCTCCCCACCTCGGTAACAACGGCCTCTCTCTGTCTCCACCCGCAGCGACTGCCCTGAAGGATTCAAATGCTGCGGTGACAGCTGCTGCCAGGAGTACGAGCTCTTCTCTGGCCCCTTGAGGTGAGCCCAGGGCCAGCTCCTCAGTGCACAGCCCCCCCCCACCCCGCCCGGGGGCTTGGGCCACACAGGACAGACTGGGCCTCCTGCCCTGGGGCCGGGGGCAGGTCAAGGAGGCAGGGAGGTGGGGCTGGCTGGCCTGCAGACTCAGGGTGACGCTGGCGGTTCCTCACCCAGGATCTTCATCATCATCTTCCTGATCATTATGCCCATCATGTGCATCTGTGGCCTGGCAAAGCACTTCTGCCGCAGCTGCAGAGAGCAGGAGCGGCACCCCCCAACGGTTCTCGCGGGGGCCCCGGAACGGCTCCCCAGTGCCCCTCCAGAGAGTATGGTGGTGTCCCCTTCTGAGTCACCACCCCCCTACAGTGAGGTGGGTGTCTGTGCTAAACCCTGCTCAGTTCCTCAGCCTTCTGCATCTCCCTGTTGTCTCAATTTTTAGGGCAGCAGTGAGAGTGGGGGGCCTCCTGGCCCCACGACGGCTCTGCAGCTGCATTGGCTCACCCTTTCCCTGGTGTACCACCGGCACATGGGTGGCAATGGCCGCTGCCAGGCCCTAAGGAGACTCTGTGTCCCCTGCGTTCCCTGCAGATTATTCTGAAGCCAGTCCTGAACCTGCCCCCCACGGATCCGCCCCCTCCCTACAGCATCAGGCCTGAAGAATATTCGGGGGTCTCCAGGGGCATCGACAATCCAGCCTTCTGAGCCACCTGCTACCTGGAATCCTGCCTCAGCCACCTCCTCCCTGACACCTCCTGGAGCAAGCCAGAGACACCTCGGACCCCTGAACCGCCTCCGCCCACCCTGCTACATCTCTGGCCTTTCTTGGATTTAACTTATTGCTTTTCCTGCCCCTGCTTCACACCGACTGTCTCTCTTGTCCCAGGGTCTGGGCTGGAGTGACAGTGCCCATCCACCACACTGCACCCCACCCCACCCCACCCGCCGCAGCCCACGTTAGAGGCTGCCAAGAGGAAAATAACATCAACAGTTGGAGTTGATGGACAGTAGAATGGGCTACTTTCAGGAGTGGAGAGAGCCCCACAGCTGGAGGTATACAAATCTCGACTGGATGGCCAGCTCTGAGACGGGAAGGGCGCTGCTATGCCTAGGGGAATTGGACTGCCTGAGCTCTGAGCCACCTCCAGCTCTCCCTGAATGGAGAAGACCCCATTCTACCCCACCCTACCCCCCAACATGTGTACTTACTAAACCAGCTGATTGCTGCTGAGAGTCTGCCTCTGGCTCTGTGGGGAGATCAGCCGGGGAGGAGGGAGGACAGGGAGGAGAGGAACTCGTCACAGGGACAAGAGAGCCCGGGAAGACAGTGCATCCCTGGGCCGCCCTCTGGGAGAGGATGTTTACAGGTACTTTGACCTCCTGTTCCCTGAGGTCTCTGGGTGCTGAAGAGCCTAGACAGGGAGGCAGGGATGGGGTGGGAGGGACCAGCGTGTGCTTCCACACCCTGCCCTCCTGCTGCTGCCCTGGGGGTGGGGAGTGGAAGGCTGGCCTTGTGTAGGGCAGGGCTCCTGGAAACCTGGATTAGCCCCACTCTGGAATCTCCTGGAGAGGAGAGGGCAGATTCCCCTTTTTCTTCCGGTCCCAGGTGGTTGGGGCTGCTGGGTTAACCCCAAAGAGGGAAGAAGCATTCAGCATTGCAGCAGAGTCTGCCCAGGGCACCAGGGATCCTGGCATTGTGCATGAAGAAAGACGCCCCCAGCTGGTGTCTTGGGGCTCAGGCTGGGCCCCTCCTTTGCACACCAACCCTGCCTTGCACTCACTGCTCCCCTGCAGCCCATGAGCTCTGGCCTTCCTCTGCAGGCAGAGGGCAGAGGAGCTGGCCAAAGCTCCTGGGAGGACGTGGTAGACCTGATGCTAGCCAGGATGGCTCCTGTAGGTCTCTCCTCGTCTCCTAGTGATACCCAGCCTTGGGGATCAGGACTCAGGCAGGTGGCAGGGGCAGGGGGGTGGCACGGCCAGCCCTCAAAAGGCCAGGGACAGGGGCTCTCTGGCTAAGGGTTCCTGCTGACACGGGTCCCAGAGGGAGTGAGGTGGTTACAGACAACACAGCCGATGGTAGGAGAATGAGACCAGTCACAGAAGTTTCAGGGGTTTATCAGGGGCATCACAGGGAAGGTCTGTGGGTGCTTTGTGTACACCTGGCCAGCTCCAGCGGGAGAGGCCCTCGGGCTGACGTGGCCCTTGCTGTGGCAAACTCCAGCCCCAGCAGGAGCGTGTTAAGCAATGGGCTTTGCAGACCTGGAGGAGGAGGCCGTCCGCAGCTCGGACTCGGCCTTCTTTCCGTCCGAGATGACACGGGGCTTTCAAATCCTCCTGCAGCTGCTGAGTGGCCTGAAGGCAGGTGGTCCCAAGCGTTGCTGGGACCTGGTGGCAGATATGGCCAGCCCTGTGGCTCTGTCCACTGTCAGTGGGAGTGGACATAGCGTGATCTTCCTGGAGAGCCACCTAGCAGTACGATGCCACGGATGCTCACAAAGATCCTACTATGGGTCTGGCACCGTGCCCGGCACTGGGTTTGCATTAGCATTTTAAATGCAGGTGACCAGGCAATTCCACTTCTCAGAAACCCCTCAGAAGTGCTCAAACACAACAGAGCTAAAAGAGGGGACCGTCACAGCACTCTAGCCAGCGGTCAGCGACCACTGCCAGGGGCGGGCGCCTGCCCCAGGCTCGTCCGTCTTGTGGATGCTGCACAGCCCCAGAAACAAAGACGTGCGTCTACACGCCAACCTGGAACCACATCCTTCATCTGTTATTACAGAGAGAAAGAGGCAAGTTGCAGAACAACAAACACCACACCACGCATGTTATACACGCATTTCCTTTGCGAATGTGTAGAGGTCTAGAAGGATAGTAAACCACGCTTGCCCACCTTCAACGGTGGTTGGCATTGTGGAATGGAGGAGAGGAGCCATGCTTGGTCTTTGTATTCCTACCATAAGCAAGCATGGCTTTTGCAAATTAAAAAAAAAAAAGATTTCTTTAATGGAAAACAAAGGCAGCTGGAGAAGCTGAGGATCAGGACTCATTCTGGGAACTTTGCTCGATTGCAATTCCTGTGTTATCAGCCCTGCTATGAGGAAGAAGCTGGAAGGACCCAGGTGTGTGACACATGTGACAGATATGTGACACCGAGACTAGATCCACAGTGGACCTGGGACAGCCCGGACAGGTAAGGGCCTGTGATGCCCATAGGTGAAACCTACAGAGGCCCATGACCAGCGCTCAGCATGTGTAGGATGTCTGGCTGGTTGGTCTGGTGGATACGCAACTTCACAATGACTGAGACTTCACTCCTTTCGCTTGGTTTAGCAGCCCAAATGCAAGGAGGGAATCAGAAAAGATGGAGTCACTGTGAACAGCTGAATGGGTACCTGAGTGAGCGAAGTAATACACCTGTGCAGGTCTGCTGGCAGACATCTGTAAAGATAGGCACAGCGTGGTTAACACCAAGGAGTTGTTCCTAGTGGCTGTGGACTTGAACATCAGTCTGCAGGGGACTGCCCAGAGGCCTGGGGAGTGCAAGAAAAGCTGTGAGGCATTGGGCATGCTGGGGTGCTGGGGGAGGGCCTTATGCTCCAGGGGCAGAGGGAGGGAGAACGGAGCTCAGCTGTGGTGGGGAGTTTGGGGGACCACACCCACGAGAATCAAACCTCACCCTGGGACTGGGTTTCAGAACTCCAGCTTCCAGCATTTTAGATTCTGCACCCAGCATCTCCTGGTCTGGGTTTCCTGTCTGTACAGTGAAGATGTTTTACCCCTTCCAGCTCTGGTAGGAGGTAGCTCTCCGGTTCCTGAGATGGGAGGGGCAAAGCAGGTCAGAGAGTTCATCCACTCCCCTCAGCCACACTCTCCAATGGATAGACCCGATCTTGTCATCCTGATCAGCTCAGACCTCTGGGGCCCTGAACATCACCTCTGACTCCGGTAGCAGCCCCAAGCCAGCAATTCCCGGAGCCCACTGAGACCTCCAGTGTTGGGAACCGCCCTGCCCGGTTTCAGAAACTATAATCCCCGGTGGCTAAGGCTGAGTAAAGGACCCTAGGACCATAAGCCACTCAGGAGACAAAGCTTATCTTCCTTGTAGGGGCACCGTCTCTGCCCCCTTTCACCTCACCCTGCTTGGCCCTGGGTGGATGACTGGTTAGCCAATGACAGGTAAGATTCCTCAATGGAGGGATGACCTAAGACAGGCTTGGTCATGAAGGGGCCCTCAGGGAAGGACTTAGGAGCTATAGAAAAAGGGGGTGTTAGACCCTCACCCCTTGGCTTTGACACAACCCTACATCTCATTCTGTCTGCCAGAAGTCTCCTAATCTCTTGGTTGCCTTACTTCCCCTGCCTGACTTAAGCCTGAAACAATGCTGGAGGTGGGTGTGACCTTGTGCTGAAAAGGGCTGGTTTCCCAGGGCATTCAGACCTAAGAAAGAATGCATAAAATCCTATGAAACCTACTTTGCTAAGAATGCCCTCAAATTTAAATGATAAGAGTCCAAGAAATCAGTTTGCTTCCCCAAAGTTTCATGGCCCTTTAGCTATCTGACCCTGATGAAAAATAGGCCCTCAGAGTTCTTTGAATGTTATCTATTGAATCATTACTGCCAACAATGATTGATGAGCTTTACCTATACGCCCTGTATTGGGTTGTCCTTGCCTGGACAACCCAATAAAAGCCTGTCCAGGCAAGGGTCAGGCTGGCCCTCTCTGTCACTGAGAGAGACGCTGTGTCATCCAATTTTCTCCAGAGTTCTATAGTTGTGTGAGTTTGTCTCGTCTTGTCCATAATGCTGCGGACTCTGCAGGCCGGTGTCCGCATCACTCCAGGCCACCGGCCTTAGCCCTGTCAGCCCTGTCCCCCCTGCCCTCCTCATCCAGCTCGGAGTCCTGTACCTAGCCTGATAATCCCCCCTCCCCCATGTCTAACTCCTTTACCCTTGTCTCCATCCATCACACTCAGCTGGCAAGCGCCAAACTCCAGTTGAAATCAACTTCTGCTCAAGAACTAGTGCAGCTGTGTGACCAAACTCACTTCAGAATCGAAACTGAATCCCGAGCAGGCCCCCATACCCCCATCACGGCTTAGCAGCTGTGCTCTTTCCCTCTGGAGAGAGACTAATTCACGCCTTCTGTTCTCTTTCAGTCTCCCACAGGCCCGACCTCAACTTCAGCTGGTGAAGGCACCACAGAAGTCAGAGAAAAAAAGTGGATGTAATTTCAAGAGAACCACTCAAACTGCCCCTGAGCCCCACCTCTGGTGGCAGTGGAAGCCACGTCCCACACTGCCAACTGGATCCCTCCCCCTTGAGCCTTCTGAAGACCTCGCTGGTGCAGGTACCTCTGTGTCAATCGTGCCCCCTCATTACTGAGCCTTCACCCTGCGTCCTGCTCAGGAATACACCTTGTCGCCCGTCTTCGAGAAGCCCTCCACTGACGCTGTCACTGCGTCTGCTGTCCCAGTCCCTCCCCCCCGGTCTTATTCCATCTGACCCCCCTCAGCTCTCTGTCCCCATCACGCCGAGAAGTGGCTCTTGCCCATATCACCAGTGGCTTACATCTTGCCGAAGCCAAAGCTCAACCCTCCAGACTCATTTGCTGTCTCTCAGTGGCATTTGACATACTTGGCTCCTGCCTCCTTCATGAAAAACTTTTTCCAGGGACTTGCCTGGTTTCCCTCCTATTCCTGGGCTGTACTTCCTTCGGCTCCTCCCCCTTTCCCTCCCCTCCACCAGCTCCAAACGATAGTTGGCGGGAGGCTTTGTATTTGGCTCTCTAGACTTTATGTTCATTCACTCCCCCGGCGGGTCCCGCCCAGTTCTGTGGCTTCATGGACCATCTCAAATCTTTATCTCCGGCCAAGATTTCCCCCTTGATCTCCAGACTAATATGTTTACCTTATACTTAACTACCTAGCACCTCCACTTGGATGCCTAAGGAGCATTTCACAGCCAAAACTAGGTCTAATTTCCCTCCACCTCACCCCAAATCCAGTCCTTCCCAAGTTGACGCATCATAAATACCTGGCACCACCAGCCAGCTGTTCAGGCCAAAAACCCCAAGTTATTCTAATTTCTCTCTTTCTCTCACCTCCTCGTCCTGCCTCCAAAATGGACTCTACTTTTCACCATTTCACGGTATAGCCCTCAGCGAAGTCCCCAAGAAGTCTAGCCTAGGCTCTCCTAAGGACATCCTAACTGGTTTCCTGTCTCCACGCT